GATTGGTTTCTCTGGTTTTACTATTTATAGGTATTTGAGTAAAATGAACCTTTTTGTTTTATTTTATAAACTACTGACAACATTGCTCCCAGATTCCAAATATAAATAGTTATTGTGAGCATTTATTTGCAGAAAATGACAGCTGGTTAAAATAACAAACGATGCAACGTTTTCAGACCTCAAATAATGCAAAAACCCAAAGTTCTTGTTCTAAGCAATACACTTTTAACTAAGAAAAAGTTCAGGAATCAGTATTGATTTTCCCAGCTTTCATGCGTTTCTCCACCAGTCTCCGTCACGTTGGGTAGTCACCTGGGTAGTCACTCCTGGCTCAGACATTCGAGCAGATCGGCTTTGTTTGACGGCTTGTGGCCATCCACCTTCCTCTTGACATCATTCCATAGTTTTTCGATGGGGTTCATGACTGGAGATTGTGCTGGCCATGATGGGGTCTTGACTTGGTGGTCCTCCATCCACACCTTTATTGACCTGACTGTGTGGCACTGAGAATTGTCCTGCTAAAAAAAAACAATCCTCAGAGTTGGGGAACATTGTCAGAAGGAAGGAACAGAAGGAAGCAAATTTTCTTCTAAGATAACCTTTGCTTCATTCATAAGTTCATTGCCGAAATACCCCCAGATAGGCATTGATCTTCCACCACATTTGCATTTCGTACAGTTCCACACAAAAGGTTACTAGTAAAACTGAAATCAGTTCTTTTAGATAACAAATGGTGTACTTGGATAGAACACTGGCTTAAAGATAGAGTGCAGAGAGTTGCTGTAAATGGAAAATGTCCATATAGGACAAAAGTGGTAAGTGGAGTGCATCAGGGTTCAGTCCTAGGACCGCTTCTATTTATTCTGTATATAAATGATCTTGCAGTGTCTATGAAAGTCATTTGTCGGTATTTAGGTAGTAAATATCTGTTTGTGTTTGTCTTTCTGACAGTTGTGTCAGTGAGTGTGTCTGAAATATCTGTGTATATGTGTGTGTGCATTAATGTGTGTATATGTGTGCATGTATCATATGTGTGCATTTCTCAATGTATATGTATGCATGTATCAGTGTGCATTAATGTGTGTGTGTATATGTGTGCATGTATCGGTGTATATGTGTGCATGTATCAGTGTATATGTGTGTGTGTGTGTGAGTGCATGTATGAGTGTGTTTCCAAACAAACAACATGGCTGCTATGATGGTGATATGAGCAATGTAAAAAGATAGAATTATACAATAGATATATATTGATTTAAAAACTGTTTCTTTGTCTTTAACTTAATTATTTGGAAACTTATTTTTTTAATTTTTTTTTTTTCTGTCCAACCAAGATTTATACAGTATCTCTCAAAAAATAGTACACCCCTCACATTTTTGTAAATATTTTATTATATCTTTTCATGTGACAACACTGAAGAAATGACACTCTGCTACAATGTAAGGTAGTAAGTGTACAGCCTGTATAACAGTGTAAATTTGCTGTCCCCTCAAAATAACTCAACACACACACATTAATATGTAAACCGTTGGCAACAAAAAGTGAGTACACGCCTTAGTAGAAATGTTCAAATTGGGCCCAAAGTGTCAATATTTTGTGTGGCCACCTTTATTTTCCAGCACTGCCTTAACCTTCATGGGTATGGAGTTCACCAGAGCTTTACAGGTTGCCACTGGAGTTCTCTTCCACTCCTCCATGACGACATCATGGAGCTGGTGGATGTTAGAGACCTTGCACCTTCAGTTTGAGGATGCCCCACAGATGATCAATAGGGTTTAGGTCTGGGGACATGCTTGGTCAGTCCATCACCTATACCTTCAGCTTCTTAACAACGCAGTGGTCATCTAGGAGGTGTGTTTGGGGTCGTTATGTTGGTACACTGCCCTGCGGCCCAGTCTCCGAAGGGAGGGGATCATGCTCTGCTTCAAATGTCACAGTACATGTTGGCATTCATGGTTCCCTCAATGAACTGTAGCTCCCCACTCATGCAGGCCCAGACCAAGACACTCCCACCACCGGCTTGACTGTAGGCAAGATACACTTGTCTTTGAACTCCTCACCTGGTTGCCACCACACACACTTGACACCATCTAACCAAATAAGTTTATCTTGGCTTCATCGGACCACAGGACATGATTCCAGTAATCCATGTCCTTAGTCTGCTTGTCTTCAGCAAACTGTTTGCTGGCTTTCTTGTGCATCATCTCTAGAAAAGGCTTCCTTCAGGGACGACAGCCATGCAGACCAATTTGATGCAGTGTGTGGCGAATGGTCTGGGCACTGACAGGCTGACCCCCCCAACCCTTCAACCTCTGCAGCAAATCTGGCAGCACTCATACTTCTATTTTCCAAAGACAACCTCTGGATATGACGCTGAGCATGTGCACTCAACTTCTTTGGTCGACCATGGCGAGGCCTGTTCTGAGTAGAACCTGTCCAAGTGAAACCGGTGTATGGTCTTGGCCACCGTGCTGCAGCTCAGTTTCAGGGTCTTTCACCGTGCTGCAGCTCAGTTTCAGGGTCTCTTATAGCCTAGGCCATGTTTATGTAGAGCAACAATTCTTTTTTTCAGATCCTCAGAGTTCTTTGCCATAGGGTGCCATGTTGAACTTCCAGTGACCAGCATGAGAGAGTGTGAGAGTGATAATACCAAATGTATCACACCTGCTCCCCATTCACACCTGAGACCTTGTAACACTAACAAGACACATGACACTGGGGAGGGAAAATGGCTAATTTGGCCCAATTTGGACATTTCCATTTAGGGGTGTACTCACTTTTGCGGCCAATGGTTTAGACATTAATGGCTGTGTGTTGAGTTATTTTGAGGGAACAGTAAATTTACTCTGTTATACAGGCTGTACACTTACTACTTTACATTGTAGCCGAGTGTCATTTCTTCAGTGTTGTCACATGAAAAGATATAATAAAATATTTACAAAAATGTGAGGGGTGTACTCACTTTTGGTAGATACTGTTTAATGTGTTTTCTATACATACGGAAACCAAAACCACATGTAAACGTTACTTCTAAACCCATGGATTGCATGTCCTCGCTGCCACGCAGTCCTTAGCATTCGTTCACACTCTGTAAGTGTGGAAATGTTTAATTACACTATGTTTCTGTACTATAGGAATTTGGGGGGATATCAACTAAATGGTGATTTTTACCTGTGTTACAATTATGCATTAAATCAGTAAGAGGGAAATGATCAGATAACAATGACAGCCTGGCCATGGAAGGGTTAGCAATCGCTATAACATGATGATAGTGATTATTATTGTCAGAAAATAATGACAACAAGCAGTCACTTTTTGGGATAGCAGACTATATTTTTGGAAGGTTTTGTCGCTGCTATATAGACATATAGAAACATGTTATGTGACGGCAGATTAGAACTATTCGGACCATCTAGTTAATTCCTAAATACTTTCATTAGTCCCTGGTCTAATATGCTGGAATCTAATGACAAGCGCTTGTCAACGAGGTAGGGAGGGTCGGGTACCTTTGGTGGGAGTTACCCAACTTTCTGGACTGAGCAGCAACTATTACAAGCACTTAGGGAGGGGGGAGAGATTTGCAAAGTGAGTGCATTGCTCCCCCTAGTGGATATTTCCTGACATGACTGCTGTGATTCTCGGTTAAGGAGGTTTCGAAAAACAAAATTGTCACAATAAAAGCACAGGTGGCTGCAGAGACTTTTACCTGGTGTTTTTAACAGTTATTACCCATGGTGCATCGAGGCAGATTTCTATACAGCCGGCTATTCACTAAATTGTAGCAAATTTTATCCAAAATTAAAAATTCAGCCTGAAACAGCCCAGCTGTGACTATGGCCGAGGGGGAGAGTATTTTCAAATCACTTCTGTTTGTCTAAAACATACAATTTGTTTTAATTCCCTCAGTTTGGTGTTTGGATTTTTAAGTGATAGAAGTCATGTTCATGTGGTTTGTAGATATCTGGTACCACGTAAGGTTTGCTATTAGTGAGTACAGGCCCTGGGGGACACACTGCGGTCTGTAGGTATCTGGTACCACGTAAGGTTTGCTATTAGTGAGTACAGGCCCTGGGGCTCACACTGCGGTCTGTAGGTATCTGGTACCACGTAAGGTTTGCTATTAGTGAGTACAGGCCCTGGGGGTCACAGTGCGCTCTGTAGGTATCTGGTACCACGTAAGGTTTGCTATTAGTGAGTACAGGCCCTGGGGGTCACAGTGCGCTCTGTAGGTATCTGGTACCACGTAAGGTTTGCTATTAGTGAGTACAGGCCCTGGGGGTCACACTGCGGTCTGTAGGTATCTGGTACCACGTAAGGTTTGCTATTAGTGAGTACAGGCCCTGGGGGTCACAGTGCGCTCTGTAGGTATCTGGTACCACGTAAGGTTTGCTATTAGTGAGTACAGGCCCTGGGGGTCACAGTGCGCTCTGTAGGTATCTGGTACCACGTAAGGTTTGCTATTAGTGAGTACAGGCCCTGGGGGGTCACACTGCGGTCTGTAGGTATCTGGTACCACGTAAGGTTTGCTATTAGTGAGTACAGGCCCTGGGGGGTCACACTGCGGTCTGTAGGTATCTGGTACCACGTAAGGTTTGCTATTAGTGAGTACAGGCCCTGGGGGTCACACGTACCAGCTGGATATGCTAAGTTCTATAGGTGTGGTTATACCGATTCATTGAAATAGCTGTGGATATGCTAAGTAGGATTAATTTCTATAAACGAGGACAAACTAGTTTATTTCTATTGATGTAAATCTGCTAATTAAGGCAGCACATATTAATGTTCCATTGACATTATCTGTCACATTATGCCCGGTTCAGGTTGCGCTGTGTTACATGGACGTGCCAACAGATTTCTATAGGTGTGGCTGTTAATTTACAGTCTTTATGGTGCAGACATAACATTGATTTTCTTTTTTATAAACCGGGGTCTGTAAACTGATATTCATGATGTGTGTGAATTCCATGAAAACTTGGTAAAAATACACATAAAAATACAAACAATGCAAACAATGCCCTTTATTTATAGAGACGGTATGATAACAGCAGCCCTAGCACAAAAAATATATATATAGTCAAACCTCAGCTGCCAGTTACCTTCTCAGGATGTCTACGCCCCCGCGGGGCCGTATTCCAGATATTTCCACTTCGACATCAATAATCAGCAAATGAGATGTAAAACATAAGACCATGCACCTTGTACAGAGTATAGAAAAGCTTTATTGTACAGAGTAGCCTTTATACAAGGATTAGTTACAGTACATATTTCTACATTCATTTCAGCTTAGATATGGAACCTGTGCAGTCAGAGATGTGCATACATTACGTGCATAAAGAAGTAAATGTGGGGGGCACAACTCTCTGTGACAGTGATCAATTGGCTGTCAGATCTCTCCATAACCCCAAAGGATCAGGGGAAATCTGGCAAATGGAAGCCAGTGTGCCGGCGCTGCAATATAAATGTTTTAAGCAGCTGAGAGATGGCACGTTGGATAACTAGGTGTGATACTAGACGTAACATTCCAACGCATTCCACAATATTTTATATATAAAACCCTGGCGCTACAATAAGGAAAGAATTTTCACCTTCAAAAAAAGATTTCAAGTTCTCTCTATATCGGTAACTAACACTACTTCCAGGGGTGCTCTGATAAAGGGGTGCCCAGTGGGGTGATATGGAGAATTATTATATCCTCAGTTACCACTCATATACTCGTACTCAGCAAGGATTTTACAATGGTCTCAGTTCAACTCTCTATGGAAATCAAGTTTTACCCCCATGAAATGACTTTTCGTAATTTACCAAATGTATATCTTGATACTGCGTATATGTAGCCAGATGTGATGAAATGCTATGTGGCCGTTTTAGAATGAATCCTGTGGTTGAATAGTGCATTAGGAATACATCATCCTCGTCCAATGGGGATTCGTACTTCCAAGAGAATGGAAATGTTATCTGTCTGTAGGTACATATACACATCAGATTAAATCATTAATCATAAAGGATCACTCAGTCCAGAGTCTATGGCTGGGAATCATCGACCAATAACACAAGCTGTGTATTTATATCATTCACTCCAATTATACTGTTATTAAACTGAAATTGGCTCCCAGAATTCAGAATACAATGGGAATATTTTGCAGGGACTGTATTAAAGCGGCTCTTTCACTGGTTTCATATTTTTATTTGCAGTTGCTACTTTGTGTCCATCTGGATAGTTGTTTTTTTCACTGAAATGACTTTGCTTTAGAAAGCTATACATAATGTAAAACCATGCAGGAAAACCTGGGACTACTTTCCCTTACGCAGAAACTACAGGTTGACAAATGGTGGTGCTTTAATCCTGTTTAACGTCATTGGTTGCCAATTCTTCTCTCCCATTTCCAGCATCGAGCCACCTCCCCCAGCGATGACGTTTGCAAGATCCTGACGAAATAGTCACGCTCATGCTTTTATAAACACGCCTTGGGAAGGGAAGAAGAGAGGTCCTGCGAGTGCCATAGAGGATTTACCAAGATGACAATGCTGTGATTGAAGACCCCAGTGGACCAGCAGGACATAAAAAATGGTAATTAGCAGTAGGTCCGAGCACTGGGGTAGGGAGGCTAGGGGGCCCTAACACAGGCCACGGGGGTGAAGGAGAAACAAGTGATGGAGCCACTTTAATAAGATGATATTGTCATGGGCAGTACTTTACATTGTGCTGATCATTTCATTTATACTATTCTATGAATTCTAGCCCACAATACTTTTTATCTCAAAGCATAAAGGGCCCTGATCTTTGAACAGAAAATAATTATATTGTGAACTAAAACCTTTAATTTAGACACCCATGGTGTGCTGGGCTATAAACCTACAGACAGAAGATCTGAAAACATTATCTAGAAAGTTTGCTCCGGGTCGTCTGTAGCCTTTTTGGGGAGCACTCCTTAAAATAATTTAAAGGAAGCCTGTTTCTTGTATTTCTCAGATCTGATTATTGAATAGATGCCAATAGGAGAATTACTAATCGAATTCCAGAGTTAAGTTTCTGTTTAGCGATAACATCCTGTCTGAGATACCACTGGGTATAACACTCTGGTGGCATTATACTGGGTATAATACTCTGGTGGCATTATACTGGGTCTAACACTCTGGTGACATTATACTGGGTATAACACTCTGGTGGCATCATAGTGGGTATAACACTCTGGTGGCATTATACTGGGTATAACACTCTGGTGGCATTATACTCCATATAACACTCTGGTGGCATTATACTGGGTATAACACTCTGGTGGCATTATACTCCATATAACACTCTGGTGGCATTATACTGGGTATAACACTCTGGTAGCATTATACTGGGTATAACACTCTGGTGGCATTATACTGGCTATAACACCCTGGCATTATAGTGGGTATAACACTCTGGTGGCATTATACTGGGTATAACACTCTGGTGGCATTATACTCCATATAACACTCTGGTACCATTATACTCCATATAACACTCTGGTGGCATTATACTGGGTATAACACTCTGGTGGCATTATACTCCATATAACACTCTGGTGGCATTATAGTGGGTATAACACTCTGGTAGCATTATACTGGGTATAACACTCTGGTGGCATTATACTGGGAATAACACTCTGGTGGCATTATACTGGGTATAACACTCTGGTAGCATTATACTGGGTATTACACTCTGGTGGCATTATACTGGGTATAACACTCTGGTGGCATTATACTCCATATAACACTCTGGTGGCATTATAGTGGGTATAACACTCTGGTGGCATTATACTGGGTATAACACTCTGGTGGCATTATAGTGGGTATAACACTCTGGTGGCATTATACTCCATATAACACTCTGGTGGCATTATACTGGGTATAACACTCTGGTGGCATTATACTCCATATAACACTCTGGTGGCATTATACTCCATATAACACTCTGGTGGCATTATACTGGGTATAACACTCTGGTGGCATTATACTCCATATAACACTCTGGTGGCATTATACTCCATATAACACTCTGGTGGCATTATACTTGGTATAACACTCTGGTGGCATTATACTCCGTATAACACTCTGGTGGCATTATCACTAATCCCGTAATGTCTGTATAATACGTCCTGCCATCAAACAAGGCCGGCAGCCAGTAACCTGTCTTCGGTCATTCTGTGATTAGTAAGGCAGTAATCCGCTGTACAGATTCTCCATAAACTCCAATCACAAAATAAAAAATATTCACAATAATAACAGTACAATGCTTCACCCCGCAAAATATCTAATATACAGATGGACATATATGGCCCATTATCAGTCTTTATTTCAGCTGTCCTCACCTGTGGACAAAACAAGCCACGGCTGTATCCAGCAAATACAGGATGTATATACAAAGAGCCAACAAACTGGGGAACACCACGCCTGCCTGAGGAAGGGGAAGCACCAAACACTCACACCGTGAAGGGTGCACTCACACTATTGATGGTACACCCACAGTATGGATGGTACACTCACACCGAGAAGGGTACACTCACACTATGGATGGTGCACTCACACTGTGGAGGGTGCAATCACACTATGAAGGGTACACTCACACTATGGAGGGTACAGTCACACTGTGGAGGGTACAGTCACACTGTGGAGGGTACAGTCACACTGTGGAAGATGCACTCACACTATGGATGGTACACTCACAGTATGGATGGTACACTCACACCATGGATGGTGCACTCACTATGGAGGGTGCACTCACACTGCGAAGGGTACACTCACACCATGGATGGTGCACTCACACTATGGAGGGTACAGTCACACCATGGATGGTGCACTCACACTAGCAAGGGTACACTCACACTATGGAGGGTGCACTCACACTATGTAGGGGTGCACTCACACTATGAAGGGTGCACTCATGCTATGGAGGGTGCACTCACACTATGAAGGGTACACTCACACTATGGAGGGTGCACTCACACTATGGAGGGTGCACTCACACTATGGAGGGTACACTCACACTATGGTGGGTGTACTCACACTATGGAGGGTACAATCACACTATGGAGGGTGCACTCACACTATGAAGGGTACACTCACTATTAAGGGTACACTCACACTATGGGCGGTGCACTTGCATCCAAAATGCCACTCACAGACACACTCCACCACATACACTGTCTGTCCTGATCCACATTTTAGAAGCAAACTGAGATTTTTCTCCAAATTGTTATAGATTAGCCTGTCTCTGAATTTACGTGACTTGGCTAAGGAATTCAATAGTTAGTTGACAGGAAGCCAACTGGCTGTAGCTGTTCAGAGGTTAATAAAGTATCTTAATGGTCCATCGTGTCCTGTTCATTAACCCTTGCACTGCTGCCCACATTATGGCAGAGAAAACCTTATTTGATGTTATTTTTGTTGTCATTTTGTAATCTAAGTACTGCCTTACATGCTGCTGTCCAAGTATTACCCGTCATAGCATGGGACTCATGGCGGCCATGTTTTCCAGGAGTTTTCCATTTACACTTTTTCCAATTTATTCACCACACTCCTTGAGATTAACTCCTTGATCCCTAGTTATTCTTAGACTCCGTACGATACCTTCTTCTTGCATTCCTCTTTTCCAAATTCCAAGGTGTTCCTTTGATATATTGCTATCACACTACCTTGGGTTTCCTGCTGTCACTCCCTCTCAGATCTCATTCTATCCCTCTACCTCTGGTTTTCTACTATCCATCCCATTTGGATCTCCTACTAACCTTCCCCCTTCGTTCTCCTGCTACAACTCCCCCTTTCTCCTGCTTTCCATCCTTATCAGATCTTTTGCAATCCATCCCCTTTGGAGCTTCAGCTATTCTTACCCTCGGATCTCCTACTGTCCCTCCCCCTCAGATCTCCTGCTATCCCTCTCCCTCAGATCTTCTGCTATCCGGCTCTTTTAGTTCTCCTGCTATCCCGCTCTCTTAAATCTCCTGCTATCCATCTACCTCAGATTTCCTTCTGTCCTGCTGCCTCAGATCTCCTGCTGTCCCTCGCCATCAGATCTCCTGCTGTCCCTTGCTGTCAGATCTCCTGCTATTCATCTCCCTCAGATTTCCTGCTATCCCACTCCCTAAGATCTCCTGCTATCACAATCTCTCAGATCTCCTGCTGTCCCTTGCCGTCAGATCTCCTGCTATCCATCTCCCTCAGATTTCCTGCTATCCCACTCCCTAAGATCTCCTGCTATCACACTCTCTCAGATCTCCTGCTGTCCCTTGCCGTCAGATCTCCTGCTATCCATCTCCCTCAGATTTCCTGCTATCCCATTCCCTAAAATCTCCTATCACGCTCTCTCAGATCTCCTGCTATCCATCTCCCTCAGATTTCCTGCTATCCCACTCTCTCAGATCTCCTGCTATCACGCTCTCTCAGATCTCCTGCTATCCATCTCCCTCAGATTTCCTGCTATCCCACTCCCTAAGATCTCCTGCTATAACGCTTTCTCAGATCTCCTCCTGTCCCTTGCCGTCAGATCTCCTGCTGCCCATCAGCCTTGGATCTACTGCTATCCCTCTCCTGCAGATTTTCTGCTGCTCCTCTTCCTCTGCTTTTCTACTGTCACTTCTGCTGTTCATCCCTTCCCTCCCCCCCCCCTCATCTTGGGATCACCTGCTATCCCTTGTCCGCACATATCCCACTATCCCTCCCCCTTTTATCTCCTGATGTCCATCCCTCTTACCTCTGCTGAAATCCTTTCCCTCTGGATCTCCTGCTACTCCTCATATCTCCTGCTTTTTGTCTTCCTTCTAGGATTTCAAGCTGTTCTTGTCTAATAACACCCTTTTCTTTCCTATCACTTGCTTCAGCCAATTATCAACTTTCTTCTCCATATGTAAAATAGAACATCACTCCTTTCCATACAAGGAGCGCTCAAACAATAGGACAGTTTGAGGTCACGGCATGCTGACCTGGAGCCGAGCTGACCCTAGGAAGTATACAATAACCAATTCCTATACCATCTAGTAAATCAATAGAATATATTCTCTTCGTGCAGCTCCCTGCGTATATCTGTCACATTCTTACATCGCATTAAAAAATCCCTGCACCTTATTTATTGACGTATTTACATGGCCTCTCCTCATCTCCACTATGTTTCATCATTTCCCTGTTTTGGTTTGAATAGGTTTAGCGCCTGAATCATTTCATTTGACCGGAGATGTAAATAACTGTAAAAAAGTGGAAAATCACATATCTTCTGCTCAGGATTTTTCCTACATAATTATTTTTATATAATATGCCTCATGTTCTCTTCCTTGCTACTTATGGCAATGAAAACATTTACCCACCGCATTCAGTCATTCACTCACTTTCACTTACAGCATGATATAGTATGTAGTTTGTTTACACTAACACATTCACTTACACCATGGAGTCATTCACTCACTGCCACTTACAGCATGATGTAGTAGGAGTTTATTTGTTTTCACCAACACATTCACTCACACCATGGAGTCATTCTTCCATCTCCACTCACAGCATTGAGTAATGTATTCATTTACACTCACTTCATTCACTGACTTATTAACCCACCTCTCTTTCATTCCCCCGTTTATTTATTTTAAAAATGTTCAGGAACAGTGGTTTATTCACTCTCCTCAATCACCTACCTTACCATTTAATAACACAGTAACTACTCTCCTATTTAATAACACAGTTACTACTCTCCCATTTAATAACACAGCAACTACTCCTGTCTATTGACAAATTAAATTCTCCTCCCATTCACTCACATTTATTAATATATGAACCTTCCCTGCCATTTACTTCTCCCTCTCCACTTACATAGTGACTTCCCCTTCCATTCTCTCACTGCCCCATCCTATTCAGTCCCGTGTATTCATTTATTAACATTTTTCTCCCATTCATTGTCGCAGACAAATTCCACCCCACCCCGTGTCTCCCATCCTAGGGATCCAGACTCTGTTCTGTGCTGACCAATGGATAATGTGATTGAAGATGCACGTCCAGTTTCTCTGTGTGTTTAAAAATGGTGGATCTAAGCCCTGAGTTCCGGTCACTTGTGCCTCTTTGGCCACTGACTTGTCCAGAGGCAGATGCCAGGCATGGTATGAGCTGGCCTAGAGAAATAAATTTCCTCTGCTTATTTGGGAAAGCGAGCTGCTTGGGAAGTGGAGGTCAGGAGTGGTCATGTTGGTGGCATCTCTGTTTTCTCTGAAAAATATTGAGCAGAAAACAAACGTTTAAATCAACAAGTGAATTAGCTTCAACTTCTGGACGTTTTTCATGAAATGCTCTGTCCATACTCTTATGTAGTCTGTGTGCTGACTATTCTGTGAAATTGCTGTAGGATATTTCTATGGCATGGAATCTCTCTCTGGATTTGTAGGATCTCTGTATGGGGCATGGAATCTCTCTCTGGATTTGAGGGATCTCTGTATGCGGCATGGAATCTCTCTCTGGATTTGAGGGATCTCTGTATGCGGCATGGAATCTCACTCTGGATTTGTAGGATCTCTGTATGTGGCATGGAATCTCTCTCTGGATTTGTAGAATCTCTGTATGGGGCATGGAATCTCTCTGGATTTGTAGAATCTCTGTATGGGGCATGGAATCTCTCTCTGGATTTGTAGGATCTCTGTATGCAGCATGGAATCTCTCTGGATTTGTAGAATCTCTGAATGTGGCATGGAATCTCTCTCTGGATTTGTAGGATCTCTGAATGTGGCATGGGATCTCACTCTGGGTTTGTAGGATCACTGAATGTGGCATGGGATCTCTCTGGATTTGTAGGATCTCTGTATGGGGCATGGGATCTCTCTGGATTTGTAGAATCTCTGTATGCGGCATGGGATCTCTCTGGGTTTGTAGGATCTCTGTATGTAGCATGGGATCTCTCTGGGTTTGTAGAATCTCTGTATGTGGCATGGAATCTCTCTCTGGGTTTGTAGAATCTCTGTATGCGACACGGAATCTCTCTGGATTTTTGTTGAATCTCTGTATGTGGCATGGGATCTCTCTGGGTTTGTAGAATCTCTGTATGTGGCATGGAATCTCTCTCTGGGTTTGTAGAATCTCTGTATGCGACACGGAATCTCTCTGGATTTTTGTTGAATCTCTGTATGTGGCATGGGATCTCTCTCTGGGTTTGTAGGATCTCTGTATGTGGCATGGGATCTCTCTCTGGGTTTGTAGGATCTCTGTATGGGGCATGGAATCTGTCTGGGTTTGTAGGATCTCTGAATGTGGCATGGAATCTCTCTGGGTTTGTAGGATCTCTGTATGGGGCATGGAATCTCTCTGGATTTGTAGGATCTCTCTATGCGACATGGAATCTCTCTCTGGATTTGTAGGATCTCTGTATGGGGCATGGAATCTCTCTGGATTTGTAGGATCTCTCTATGCGACATGGAATCTCTCTCTGGATTTGTAGGATCTCTGTATGGGGCATGGGATCTCTCTGGGTTTGTAGGATCTCTGTATGCGGCATGGAATCTCTCTGGGTTTGTAGAATCTCTGTATGCGGCATGGGATCTCTCTGGATTTGTAGGATCTCTGTATGCGGCATGGGATCTCTCTGGATTTGTAGGATCTCTGTATGTGGCATGGGATCTCACTATGGGTTTGTAGGATCTCTGTATGTGGCATGGAATCTCTCTGGATTTGTAGAATCTCTGTATGTGGCATGGGATCTCACTCTGGATTTGTAGGATCTCTGTATGGGGCATGGAATCTCACTATGGGTTTGTAGGATCTCTGTATGGGGCATGGAATCTCTCTCTGGATTTATAGGATCTCTGTATGTGGCATGGGATCTCTCTGGTTTTGTAGAATCTCTGTATGTGGCATGGAATCTCTCTGGGTTTGTAGAATCTCTGTATGTGGCATGGGATCTCTCTCTGGATTTGTAGGATCTCTGTATGCGGCATGGGATCTCTCTGGGTTTGTAGGATCTCTGTATGTGGCATGGGATCTCTCTGGATTTGTAGGATCTCTGTATGGGGCATGGAATCTCTCTCTGGATTTGTAGGATCTCTGTATGGGGCATGGAATCTCTCTCTGGGTTTGTAGGATCTCTGTATGTGGCATGGGATCTCTCTGGATTTGTAGGATCTCTGTATGGGGCATGGAATCTCTCTCTGGATTTGTAGGATCTCTGTATGGGGCATGGAATCTCTCTCTGGATTTGTAGGATCTCTGTATGGGGCATGGGATCTCTCTGGATTTGTAGGATCTCTGTATGTGGCATGGGATCTCTCTCTGGGTTTGTAGGATCTCTGTATGTGGCATGGAATCTCTCTGGGTTTGTAGGATCTCTGTATGTGGCATGGGATCTCTCTGGATTTGTAGAATCTCTGTATGGGGCATGGAATCTCTCTCTGGATTTGTAGAATCTCTGTATGGGGCATGGAATCTCTCTCTGGATTTGTAGAATCTCTGTATGTGGCATGGGATCTCACTCTGGATTCGATCTAGAATCTCTGAATGTGTATCACTTGGTTTAAATCTCGGATGGGTTTGGATCTCTGAATGTGTAGCACAGGGTTTTGATCTTTGAATCTGCATCATTGGGTCTTGACCTCTGGATGTGATATACGTATTCTTTATGTATAAATGGTTAATTTATGGTGTAAAGTGATAGAACATTCAGTATGTGGGGTAACTGCTACATCTAGAAATTGCTGTGAGAATTTGTTCCTGAGTGTGAGAGTATAGAAGGAGGAGTCATTGATCATTCTATAAGATTTCTACAGAGTAGTGTAAGAGGTTTTTATCATGAATACTGTTGGAATGCTTGGTATAGCATTGACGTATTACACTCACCGGCAGAACTAGAACCGTTACAATCTTCAGCCGCAGAGAACTTTAACTCGGTGCCATCAACTGTAAGGGAAGACCTGGATCTGTCCCCAGAGCGAGTCCTTCGTAGAACTGTTTGCTGGAATGGCAGTCACAATGTTCATGAGAAACACAGACTAAACAGCTTCTACAATATACCTATCACACTATACATATACTAACAGTGCCTACAATATACCTATCACACTATACATACACTAACAGTGCCTACAATATACCTATCACACTATACATACACTAACAGCGCCTACAATATACCTATCACACTATACATACACTAACAGCGCCTACAATATACCTATCACACTATACATATACTAACAGTGCCTACAATATACCTATCACACTATACATATACTATCAGCGCCTACAATATACCTATCACACTATACATATACTATCAGCGCCTACAATATACATATCACACTATACATATACTAACAGTGCCTACAATATACCTATCACACTATACATATACTAACAGTGCCTACAATATACCTATCACACTATACATATACTATCAGCGCCTACAATATACCTATCACACTATACATATACTATCAGCGCCTACAATATACATATCACACTATACATATACTAACAGCGCCTACAATATACCTATCACACTATACAAACACTAACAGTGTCTACAATATACATATACTATCAGCGCCTACAATATACATATCACACTATACATACACTAACAGTGTCTACAATATACCTATCACACTATACATACACTAACAGTGCCCACAATATACCTATCACACTATACATATACTATCAGCGCCCACAATATACCTGTGACGAAGTGCCCTTCGCCACTTGTGCCTGGAGAGGACTGCTTGCCCGCCTCTTGCCCTGTGACTATGGCCCCTGGGATGTATTGCCCTTTAAAGACATGATTTGGGCATAATGGATTTGTGTTGTGCTGCTGCTGGCCCTTTAAGAACCATCTGAGGACATACTGTGGAGTTACTGGGTGGCCACCATTTCCTGTATCAAAGGCACATGGTGAGAACAATGGATGGCGGCCATTTTAACTCACAGACACTGTTTGGACTTTTCAACACGGTGCCATCTTGCCAGTATTTGGTGCACAGAGACATCGTGCAGTGGTTTTGGACTATACAGCAGGGGACACATTATACGGTGATTGTTTTTCATTTAGCCTGTATATGTTCTGCAGAATCTGCATTAAACTGTATTTTCCAAAGTACTGAACGGATCTGGGTGAATTTTGGATATGTGGTTCACCCAGATCCCCCGGTTCCAAGGATATACTTTTTATGGGGTTATTGCATGTTTTGGGGTCCCTGTGTGTTTTATGAAACTGTATTATTTCTGACCAGCAGATAATTGAGTTTTGTGTATTGTAGAAACTCAATTATCTAGCCTGGCCCAGAGGAGGAGTTTTGTGTTGCATAAATTGTGAGTTCTGTGTGCCAGTAAATCAGTCTTGTTCCAGCATTAAGCCTTGGCTCATGTTTGGGGGTTTGGAGAAATACACTCTGGGGACTGCTATAATCGCTATACTCCCCAGGGTATGATCACTAAGTTCTGCTAAGAGCTTGTTCCTGCTCTCTGGGGAAAGAGAGGTTCACCCACTGGAAGCTGGATCCTGGCCTTGGGTCCAGGGTTGGTGGAGACAGCAGAGACCCCAGCGCAGTTGCATCGCTGGAAGTGGGGTCTGCAGTGCTGATGGTGTCGGTTGGAGTGCTTGGAGTCCTCGGCAAGCGCTAGGAGCATCGATTGGCGGAGGTACTGAGTCGGAGTGCCAGCGTTCCGTCACAATACCTATCACACTATACATACACTAACAGTGCCCACAATATACCTATCACACTATACATATACTAACAGTGCCTACAATATACCTATCACACTATACATATACTATCAGCGCCTACAATATACCTATCACACTATACAAACACTAACAGTGCCTATAATATGTCTATCAGTCTGTACACAATGTGTATATAAGTACACAAGGTGATTTAATATACAGTTTAAGTGCAGTCTAATTAACTCTATGTTTTTAACGTATGCCGGCTGTGACCCCAGTGGTCCCTCACCTTCCTGCTCTGAGGGCTGCTGGGAGCAGAGGCGCTGCTGTACAAGCTGAGGGTGGAATTGGACGGGCTGGGTGATAGACCTTTCACGGCAATATTGTTCTGGTTCCCCACACTCTTGTACGGTGACGAGGAGTTGGATGACTCAGGAGATAAGTACTTTTCATTGATTTTCAGGTTAGTCCGACCTTTCACTGCAAGGAAAAAGTCAGAATAGTTCCAGGCACAGCACAAAGCCTAATCTAACACAGTGCTCCTCCTAGACAGATATACCGAGACATCATTCCATCGATGGAAAAAGTCTAATCTAACACAGTGTGTAGCGGAACCCCTTAGGCTGTCCCATACATCACCTTGTATAATATTTGTTGTTAGAACTTAAGAGTTTCCTATACCTGGACTGTATAGAATTACCTGTTAGAATTCTTCAAAGTGTTCGGTAGAAAAGAGCTACAAGTCTGCATTTGAATTGCTGTATTCACCATACGAACCAAAGTGCCAAACAACCGGACCACCCTGGTGTGAAGTGTGGCTGTAATTTACCTCCCTGTCTGCTTGTTACATTCACCTGCTTCAAACAGCCGAACGCTCTGCTATATCCCTTGGGTGGCTGCCATTTCGGCAGCCGAACACATGGTGGCAGCCATCTTAAACTCCCGCACAGCGGTGTTTGGTCATCGAGTGTCTGGAACTCAAATCGGACACTCGGCTAACCAAACACCGCTGAGACCTCCAGGACGGCAGAAAGTACCGATTGAAACACACGAACGGCCCGGCATTCGGTAGGATGAATACCACGAATTAGGGGATTCATCCGAATGCAGACTCAGCTATAGATGGCATAGCCTTTCGGGACTTTTGATGCGCGAACGGAGACCGACCGCAGGGCCAAGATTCATGGAACTATTTTCGGCTACTTTGCCCATGCGGTCGGTCAAATCTTTGCGCCCTCATAACTCCTGAACCCCTGGTCTGATCTGGGTGATTTTTGGATATGTTCCTCACCCATTTAAAAGTGTACCTACCAGATTTGGGGTACATCCAAGAATTGGGAAAAAGTTGGTACATTATAATTATGTTAACTGTTAAGCTAAGGGGAGGAGATGTGTGGGATGTAAAGTCTATGTGATTGGTTACTGTACTGATTATGTTGGGTGCCTCCCTTGCATGGGGGAATCTCATAAAAGCAGGAATTGTGTCATTAAACCTCAGTTCTACTCCTGATCCTGTGTGTTATCCAGTTATTGGGAAAGGTGATGGGATATTATTGGATTGCCTTGCTTATTGTGGCTGTTACCCTATTTGGATTTACTACTTGTTCCTGAATTATTCTAATACATCAGTGGAGTTAAGCTCTGGGAAATCAGCTCTCCGCTACACAGTGCTCCTCCTAGACCGATATACAGAGACATCATTCCATCTATGGAAAAAGCCTAATCTAACACAGTGCTCCTCCTAGACCGATGTACCGAGACATCATTCCATCCATGGAAAAAGCCTAATCTAACACCGTGCTCCTCCTAGACCGATGTACCGAGACATCATTCCATCCATGGAAAAAGCCTAATCTAACACAATGCTCCTCCTAGACAGATATACCGAGACATCATTCCATCCATGGAAAAAGCCTAATCTAACACAGTGCTCCTCCTAGACCGATGTACCGAGACATCATTCCATCCATGGAAAAAGCCTAATCTAACACACTGCTCCTCCTAGACTGATATACCGAGACATCTTTCCATCCATGGAAATGAGTCAGAATTGGGTTCAGCTAGTCCACCCATTGTACAGCGCTGCAAAACTTGTTGGTGCTTTTTTAAATATTAATAATAATAATGCTGAGCTCAAACCTGATCTAGCCAATCCAATCAACAGTAAAAATAAATCAAATTATTACACACTCCACCCAGTGACAACACAATTATACTTCTCTAAATAAAATGCAGAATTTCCAAATGCAAATATTCAAGGTCAATAAATACAGGAATCTGTAATAAAAACAAGGCAAATAGACATAGTGTAATCTGTTTCATATAGATGGGATAAGTAGATGGTAAGAATAACACTCACAGGCTCTATATAATACACTCTGGGGTGCCACTACTGGCTTTGAATATTCACTAGCCGACAATGTAGACTTATTCCACAAAATGTTTTTTTTTAATTAAAAATTAGTTAAAAAAAAAAAGTTTTAGAGGACTTATTGAAGCAGTATGCAATACAGATCTTAATAATTGATATACAGTACTGAAGGAAGAAGTCCTTTTACTATTTGACTATTACAGTCTTCCTGAGTGCCGAATACGTGTGTAAGTCTTCTTGTCTAAGGGACAATAGTGGCACCCCAGTGTGTACTATATAGAGCCTGATACAGTCCTTGTGAGTGTTATTCTTAGCTGAACTCAGATCTGGTCTTTAGCCAATCCAATTAGCTGAACTCAGATCTGGTCTTTAGCCAATCCAATTAGCTGAACTCAAATCTGGTATTTAGCCAAACCAATTAGCTGAATTCAGATCTGGTATTTAGCCAATCCAATTAGCTGAATTCAGATCTGGTCTTTAGCCAATCCAATTAGCTGAACTCAGATCTGGTCTTTAGCCAATCCAATTAGCTGAACTCAGATCTGGTCTTTAGCCAATCCAATTAGCTGAACTCAGATCTGGTATTTAGCCAATCTAATTAGCTGAACTCAGATCTGGTCTTTAGCCAATCCAATCACCTGAACTTAGATCTGATCTTTAGCCAATCCAATAAATTGAACTCAGATCTGGTCTTTAGCCAATCCAATCACCAGAACTTAGATCTGGTCTTTAGCCAATCCAATCACCAGAACTTAGATCTGGTCTTTAGCCAATCCAATCACCAGAACTTAGATCTGGTCTTTAGCCAATCCAATCACCAGAACTTAGATCTGGTCTTTAGCCAATCCAATTAGCTGAACTCAGATCTGGTCTTTAACCAATGCAATTAGCTGAACTCAGATCTGGTCTTTAGCCAATCCAATTAGCTGAACTCAGATCTGGTCTTTAGCCAATCCAATTAGCTGAACTCAGATCTGGTCTTTAGCCAATCCAATTAGCTGAACTCAGATCTGGTATTTAGCCAATGCAATTAGCTGAACTCAGATCTGGTCTTTAGCCAATCCAATTAGCTGAACTCAGATCTGGTCTTTAGCCAATCCAATTAGCTGAACTCAGATCTGGTATTTAGCCAATTTAGCAATTAGCTGCTGAACTCAGATCTGGTCTTTAGCCAATCCAATTAGCTGAACTCAGATCTGGTCTTTAGCCAATCCAATTAGCTGAACTCAGAGCTGGTATATTGGCTGGCTGTTGGTGGCAGGGTTATATGACACAAGACAGCTAAATCTGGTCATTTACATGTATTACAAATTGTAAGTAATGGTAATGCAGAAAGTAATTTATAAACAGAACTGGGGTAAGTGAACAGCAAAATAGGTCTGTATTCCTCCTTTATTCTCATGTTCGCATAACGCTAATAAACCCAGCCCGGCTGTTATCTGAATATTGGTATGTGGAAACCTATTAGGTCCTGGTGTTTTGTGTAAAATAAGTTCCTGTAATCAGAGATTCATAAAATAATTCTAAAAGTTTGGAATGAATCAAATTGCAGCAGCTTAATTGGTATAAAGAGTTTACCATCCCGGTGCTGCGTAACCTATCGTTTGTATGTAAAATGTTTTTACTACACACCTCTACATGGGTCATTCTTCACAAGAAATTCATCCAATGCGATCCAGCCACCACCGACTCTCACCATGAGGGTACTGCGTAGGATCCGAACCATACGCAACAGCTGGGATTCTCCAAACTGCAAGAGAGACATAGATAGCTGGCCTCATACTTGGGTTGAGAATACTGCCCAGTGGGGATACAATGGAAGTGCAACTCACGGTAAAGGAAATTGAACTGCATGGAAAAGGATGGAGTCTGGGAGACTAGCTGCAAGGAAAGGGATGGAGTCTGGGAGAGTAGCTGTATAGAAAGGGATGGTCTTTGGGAGAGGAGTTTCCTGGAGAGGAATGGAGACTGGGAGAGGAGCTGCATGAAGAGGGTTGGAGTCTGGGAGAGGTGCTGCATGGAGACAGATTGAGACTGGGAGAAGAGCTGCATGGAGAGGGAAGTCTGGGAGAAGAGCTGCATAAAGAGGTATAAAGACTGGAAGAGGTGCTGCATGCAGACGGATAGAGACAGAGAGGAGCTGCATGGAGAGGGATAGAGATTGGGAGAGGAGCTGCATGGAGAAAGATAACACATTGAGCATAATGAATCACAGGACATACTAACCCTGTACCGGTTGGCACTGATTTGTTCCACCTGAAATTGCTTTGCACAGTTACATTGAGAAACCTGTCTGTTTACCTGCAACAAAGAACACAGCGGGTACTAAGGATTGGCACTGCCTAACAAGTTCCTCTAGTATCTAACAGGGACCTTCAGTGGGTGACCCGACAGACGTTTGCAAACGGTTTATCTCACAGTATAAAAGATGTCTAAATTGTTTCCCCTCACCTCATCCTGGATCTGATCAGCATCCACACTCCTCCGTAGAGGGTCTCTGGTTGGATGCAGGGCGCTGACAAACTCATAGTAATCAATAAAACCATCTCCGTTTATATCAAAGATATTGGCCACCGCTGTCATCTCTAATGAGTTGGTTGGAAACCCTGTAAAAGAGCATTAAGCTGTTTATGTAGTCATTGCGTGCTCTGCATAGTGTCACAGAAAACAGAAAAGTTCTGCTAAGAGATCCCAGAATGAACTAGGATACCTCCTGGCAAAATTTAGATGAATACAGAACGTGTTTCAAGATATGACATGTATGCCTGTATGGTCTCACTCGGACATCAGTAGAGGTATTCCTTGTGTGTGTGTTTAACGTTCACTCCTGTCTACTCACTGGAAGACAAGACACTGTCAATGAACTCCTTCTGGCTGATTCTCCCATCCTGGTCACGATCAATACCTCGGAATACGTCTAGGATTCTGGACTTCATCTGCCCGATCCACTGCATGTACCTTTTCCTCCACACAGCAAAATCAAAATGGGCAAACTCCTTTAACTATAAACACAAAACAAACACAAACCACAGGAAAAAGATTATCAGTCCTGAGCAACAAGATGTCATCAATGTAACAACTTTATTACTGGAGGTCTATTACTTTATTACTTGCGGGGGCCGTGTACCCTTCGTATACTTTAAAATGGGCTATGGTAGTGCATGATCACAAATTACCATTCCCTGCTGAGACCATGCCACATGAGACCATGTACACGACAGCAGGCATGTGCCCATAATGTGCCCCTGAAGTGTTCATTCTGCATGGTTTTCATGCTAAGCCCATGTCACCTGCCTGCTGAGTTCATACCATGCATCCCTCCTATGCAAACATGCTGTCCTTGATAAGTCCATGTTGTATTCTTTCTCTGCCCATGTCAACGCCATTTCCTCTACTCATGCCTTACCTCATGCAGCCTCTGATGGGCACTCTGCAGACGGCACTGCCGATCGAGGGACAGGAACCATAACTGCTGCCAGCGGTTTAGAAGCTGAGCCATGTGAGGTGTCTGGGGTGAGAGATCCAGCAGAGGTATAGATGGTCCGGCCTGCATTGATTTCAGGGAATTTTGTCTTTCTGAAACAATAACAAGAAATAATAGTGGGATAGCAATGTTTTATTTTAATTTAGATTTTGTTGCTGTTTGGAGATGCACAAAAATGAAAGGATATTGGCTACTCAAAACGATTGTTTAGTATAAAAATCTTTTTTTTAATTAAGTTTTGTAAGGAAATAGATTTTTTTTTTTTTAAAGTATATGTAAAAATATGAGTGTGCTTATTTCTCTGCCAGAATGCAGCCATTCTTTTTGGAGACATACTGGCTCCCGTACACTAAGGCGCCTGTAGAGGACGGGAAGGGGAAGTGAGCAGAATAGCTACATTTTCTAAATGTAACTATTATGTTTTAATAGCAGGAGAAAATCCCAATATTCCAGTGACCTAATAAAACTGGCATCCGTTTCACCCAATGTAAAGTTATAACAAGCAGGTAATGCCACACATGAATAAGATGTAAAACAGAAAAAGCAAGCCAAATCTTTTCCTAAATTACCTTTTCCTAGCCATTTTCCCTGGCAGAATCACAAATCAGTTTAATCCCAATACTCAGCAAAAGGGCGAAAATGTATCAATATCTGAATTTACATCTTAACATAAGACTTCTCCTTCCGTCAAACTATGCAGCTCTTATAAAGCCAACATACTACGAGGATGAAAGGGACATACTGATGATCCCTTGGTTGGTGATCAGGAGAAGACATTTCTGGTAAGCCTAGCTGTGAGTTTTCTGTTTTCCCAGCCGGCCACGGCAGTATCATAAATAGGGATTCCCGTAACTAAGAAGGGAAGGAGACAGAAGTACTACTAGCAAAAGATGGATTTATTATTACTTGTAACAGAAGATGAAATGCTTTGTCCAAGCAGAACACCTGATTCTGCCATTACACACAAACAGGGAGGTTTGATGAACACATTGCTGCCCAACTTACATACTCTACTGGGATGGTGGTGTTGAGAAGAAGCACTGACTATCGATATTGCAGTACGTGTTTTGCTGATTGATTACTGGACGCTTCAGAGGAGAGGACCGCCAAGTCATAAATGATAGGCAAGTCTAAAAACCAAAATGAAAATATTTCCCTAAAGGACCTGCCTGGATCTAGCTAGAAAGACAGGCTGAGGGAAGGAGGAGGCATATTAAAATGTATTAATTGACTACTTCCTCTGCTGTATGGCGAGTGACGGTATTTAATGTGTGATCCTGCCGTGGTTTGCCAGGAAAGGAAGAGGCCTGCAAACGTAACAGTGATATAAAGATCCCAACACATGTTCAGTGTATTGAATGCCAGATCACAACATTCAGCCTCCGTGACACTCAGTAAGCTAACTGGGGGAGCGGAGAGCCTGAGACTCCTCTTTACTCCATCATTGGAAAGAATTGGATGCAAGGAAGTGTTGGCTAAATCAAAACTGTGAGGAAGATGAGTGGTCACTCACTTGCTGAGTTCTTTCGTGAGTTTGCTGTTCTCGTCTCTGTCACTTTACGTTTGCATTTCTTGGTCACGCGTTCTACTTCTGGTTCCATCCGATTTAGTTCCTCCATGAACACCTAAAATGGAGCATATTGTGCAGAATGTATCAGAGATCTAATGTATCCAGCCTGCAGATACGTAAGGTAATAGCAACAGGGTTGGAAACCAGTCCCTAAGTAGAGGTTAGCGGCTCCTATAGAGAATAATGGGAGACGTTAGCCGCCACGTCGTTACTGGTGCATTTTGGTAGAAAGTAGCGATAACATTGGGGCTTTATAGGGTACTACAATGCTAGGGATACATTCTGCACAGTTAATATAAAAACCTCTGCTCCCATTCTTACTATACCAGATTGAAAGATGGACTTGATATTTCTGACCACTACAGGTCCATAGAGGACTCCCTCATCCCCCAGGAATGCCAGTAGATTACCGAGTGCTGTGAAATGATCTCATCCATGGCTTCGATCTCGTCTGGCAGAGGTTCCTGATCCCGTAAGCTGAGAGCCTCCTCGGCGGATGTTATCCAGTCTAGGAGCCGGGCCACCTCCTCCCTTTCTGTGGCCAGGGACTGGATCTGGGACTTGATCCGCTCACCCTGCTGCTTGGCCCAGGACATGACCTGCAGAGACAGCCGGGAACAATGCATTGCTTGTTTTAGAATCTTTCTCTGTTTACCGGATATTCTATGATATCTCACCCAGCAGCCTGTTCTATGTTACAAAGTGGATTAAACCGACCTGTTAGTAAATGGCACAAAGTGTTTCATTAAAAGATACATACATATTATTCCTGCGGACATCTCCTTGGATGATCTCACTTTGGAGACATTTTGGGGGTGATGGTAAAACGTCACCAACACAAGCAGAGGCTGTGGGACTGTCAGTATCCTCTTTCTGTATTACCTAAACCATTTTTTATCTTATTAATGAACCTACCTGGGGCCAGGTAATACATCAGCCTAACTTGATATTTTCTCTTTTAATAATGTTTCTTTATTCCACGCCAAACTCTTTATCACACACTGCGCTCTGCACTCACCTCCTGGTATCGTGTTTTGGTAATGTTCAACCAGGATTTTATGGTGATTATTGAGTCCGGGTGACAGGCAGACAGGATCTCCTGGCCCAGGGACACAATGCACTCCAGGGCAAGCTGCTGACATTCCAGGGTGCTGATCAATTCCTGCGGAGACAGCCAGAGGGAGCCGTAAGGAGTGTATTAAGTAACAAAGTATAATTAATCAAGCAACATTAAGTATAATATGATAACATGTAATACAGCTTTACTGATGGGAATAGTATACAACGTAAATTATAGAAGATAATTTAAATAAAGGGGAAAAAACATCATATAGACGTTATTGGGTGCAAAGAATGAAAAATATAACATAATTATTTGCATTTCTGATATGCTAATGTCTACATCAAGTTACCTTCATGCAAAATACTCCTAATAAAAACCAAAAACTCATTTATCTCCTCTTAGTGTCTGCGAGCTACACTAACTGCCATCCGATATCTATCTAAATCACAGGCCGTGATCTGCCTGAAACACGTTAATAAGCTGATCACCCAGAAAAGTCTCTAACTCCCCCTTCCTGCTCCATCTAATCACAGTTCAACCCTGTGAATCCCGATGAACTCCTAAAGGCCCAGAAAATACCCAGTCCCTTTCCCCTGACACGCCTCTCTTCATTCATTGTCTGCAGTCAGGAGGTCTCCAATACCCTGTCCATCTACAGTATAAAAACAAACAACCTGTAATTAAACTATTAATGCTATGTAATTTATCCAACGAGTTTGACATTAATCCGCGTGTAACAAGCTGCAGCCCGGGATAACACTAGGTCATTTGGTACATATTTCCTGATCGTGCCCTCGGTTAATGGCGCACTTGCTCTCAATATGTTTCCTGGATAATGATACAGACAATATACTCCTCCTGTACTCACCTGCTGCTGTCTCTGACACTCCCGGAGTGCGTGCTCATTGTCGGGGATAATCCCGTACTTCAGATTACGCTCCGACTCACTCAGACCCTCCAGAAACGAAGTCACCAGACAATGGAACTCGTCAGCCTGCAAACAGTAAACAGTACTGCGTTCATCACTTACATCAACAAGGTCTTTAACTTTACACTGGGGAAAGAGATCTGTGCTGCATGTGATCTGAGGAGCATTTCCAGTACAATCTCTTCTAACACGCTAGAGACACCACAGATAATGATTTCCCTTTACTGGACAAGACGAAGATCTTCAAATCTATTAAGCTTTCAGTAAAGGAGCCTGAGTCCACTAAATTAAGATAGGGAGTGCTACTCCACTTACTAAGCCTGCCTTCCAATAAGGGAGTGCTACTCCACTTACGGAGACTGCCTTCCAATAAGGGAGTGCTACTCCACTTACGGAGACTGCCTTCCAATAAGGGAGTGCTACTGCACTTACGGAGACTGCCTTCCAATAAGGGAGTGCTACTCCACTTACGGAGACTGCCTTCCAATAAGGGAGTGCTACTCCACTTACGGAGACTGCCTTCCAATAAGGGAGTGCTACTCCACTTACGGAGACTGCCTTCCAATAAGGGAGTGCTACTCCACTTACGGAGACTGCCTTCCAATAAGGGAGTGCTACTCCACTTACGGAGACTGCCTTCCAATAAGGGAGTGCTACTCCACTTACGGAGACTGCCTTCCAATGAGGGAGCCTGACTCCACTTACTGAGACTGCCTTCCAATGAGGGAGCCTGACTTCACTAACTGAGACTGCCTTCCAATGAGGGAGTCTGACTTCACTAACTGATACTCCCTTCCAATGAGGGAGTCTGACTCCACTTACTGAAATTGCCTTCCAACTTCACTTATTGAGCCTGACTACATTTACTAAGGCTACCTTCCAACGAGGGAGCCTGATTCCACTTACTGAGACTGCCTTCCAATGAGGGAGTCTAACTTCACTTATTGAGACTGCCTTCCAATGAGGGAGCCTGACTACATTTACTAAGACTGCTTTCCAATGAGGGAGCCTGACTACATTTACTAAGACTGCCTTCCAATAAGGTAGCCTAACTGTACTTACTGCTGTATCATGACTTTACATTCAGTGACAGACACTCACCTGTTGTAAGGAAGACTCCAGCCGTGCCTGTTTGCTCACAGATAACTGGCAAACCAGCTCCCAGCGATGGTCCAACTCCTCCATTTGTCTTTGCAGCCATTGTGAGTCTTTACAGACACCTCCTCTGCTCAGGTCTCGAACAGAATGTTTCAGGGTCTTCATACAACCGGCTCTCTTACCCAGCTCTTTCTGAAACACCTGGAACCACAACATCATCTCAATGGATCAGAGAAATCACATCATCAGCACCATGAGTCAGAGGCATCACATTAATAACAAGCTGTCCATGGAACAGAGACTTCACACCATCATGCTCTGCTCTCATGGACCAAAGACATAATAAAAACCACCCATATCAAGCACATAGTATTTATGGTAATCACCTTGTGCTTGTCCAGGAGGTCATTAACCAGGTCTCTGTCTCCGCCAACCGGCATCTCCTCAGACAGTTGTGGCTCAGCCCAGTACAGCCAGTCCATGAGAGCCTGAAGAGCCTCAGTGAACTTCCCAGAAAACAGCAAGGACTCCTCAAGCTTCTGCTGCCTGTAACGGAAATCGTGTGTCATGTCAGTACTGACGTCATGTACAAGTGTAATCAAAATTATTCAACTCCCATTGAAAATCAGGTTTATTGTCAAAATTAAGACTTTCAGCTGTTTGCAATGAACAAATCAATCATAATTTATTGAAATAGCTCAAGACAACAAATGCTTCAAGTGGCTTCCCAAATGCAACTGAAAATGTAACTTATAATGACTTCTCCAATAAGAGGGCAAGTGTCAAGAGTGACAGATTCATGTTGACAATAACCAGCGCATGGAGACGGATAGGTACCTTGTGCTGATTCAGTCAAAATGCTCAATGCATGGCAGTCTTAAAGGGTTACTCTAAGGCTTTATGATTAGCCCCGCATGCCCTCCACAGTAATACCGTGCTGGATTTATTAACCCTCCTTCCCCCCCACAGTAATACCGTGCTGGATTTATTAGCCCTCCTTCCCCCCCACAGTAATACCGTGCTGGATTTATTAGCCCTCCTTCCCCCCCACAGTAATACCATGCTGGATTTATTAGCCCTCCTCCCCCCCCCACAGTAATACCGTGCTGGATTTATTAGCCCTCCTTCCCCCAGTAATACCGTACTGGATTACGGAGTTAAAGCAATCGGTGGGCAGGTAGGGAGGAACATTCAAATAACTAACTATAGATGGATATTCCAGGGGGCACTTACATAAAAGAAGGGGGGAGGAGGAATAAATTATTTATCTTGCAGTGACAATTGGGGTGGAGCTAGTTACAGCCTGTCAGATAAGGGGGTGGAGCCAGTTTTACAGACTGTTTGATACGCAGTGAGTGATTAATGTTGCCATGATGAATGATCAGGAAGGAAAGTTATAGAAAGCATGGTAATATTTTTTTCCTTGATAGAAGTAATGAGGAGAGAACACACCTCCAGCCCGGAACAATCAGGAGAGGCTGTAAGATTTCTTTATCCTGGATATAAACTGAAGTTACTGAAAGGTCATAACCGCAAGATTCGCTTAAAATATGTTGCCTTATCATACAGATAGTTTTGACTTTCTGGAAGTTGACCTCCTAGATACGTTACCTCTCCATGGATCTGCTGCAGACATGTTCCCACCGCTCTCTTAGCTGTCCGACCAACTCATCCAACTTTTGCCCGTCTTCCGCGAAGCGCACTTTCTCCCTGAGTGCCCTCCCACTGCGCAGAGTGGCTTCATATACTGGTCTCTTGGACCGCAGAACTTTCTGAAACTCCTGTAGAGTTCACATAGGAGGTTATGCAGATACCAAACATGAAGTTCACTAATAAGTTAATAAACATTACAGCTGTTCTTGCTATTAGAAGACATCAGGAGATTTTCGTTTCTGTCAGAGAATGGGAATAAAGAAGTAATAATCCTATAAACTGAGTCAATATAGCTGGCCCCCAATAAGATGACAATTGGAAGAGTGATAGATTCATGTTGACAATAACCAGCGCATGGAGACGGATAGGTACCTTGTGCTGATTCAGCTGTAGTTTGATTTTCTCCTGACTCTCGGTGTTATCGATGGCCTGAGTGTCCAGACTGTGATCCACCTCGAGCAACCACTCCATCAGCAAGCGTTGAGACTCTCGGAACTGCAGACAAGAAATATTTAATTCAGGTGAGGATGTATTGACGACTATGGCGAAAAACAGGTTTTTACCAGCACCCGTGTGCATGTCAGTTTAAAAACATCCGTATCACTATGTATATAAAATTATGGCACAGAAATCTCAAATAATCAGTCCTGTAGAGGCGCCAGAATAATGATAAAGAGATCTTGTATCACACTGCCTGGAGTGCAGGTACTTACCTGCTTCGCACTTCTCCTTGCCTCCTCCAAGTTCCGTCCCCTTTCCCCTGCTCTCTCCTGCACCTTTCCTAGGCGCTCCCGGGCACTTTGAATTAGACTCTGAGTCATGTCCCCTTCCTGCTTCCGACTCACATCCTTCAGACGGGAGTAGAGGGACTCCAGACTGGACAATTTCTCCTCATGTAGCTGGATCTCCTGATGAAGGCCCTGAGGAAACAAAGACACAATTTGTAAGAGATATCAGGCACAGCAATGGGCACCTACTATAGAGAACTGTTTTCTTTGTGTCCCTGTGCCAAAACCCCTATTTTGCATTCCCAGGAACTTAATTTTTATGTTACCAAAGTGTACCGACTGCTAGCCCTGATTTCATGGAACTGTTTTGGGCATAGGACCATGTGCACTGTTGGTCAAATAATTGACTTTCATCGAAATCTCGAACCCCTGAACCGATTTGGGTGATTTTTGGATTTGTTGGTCACCCAGATCGGGGCTATCAGGGGATGTAACAATTGTGGGGTTTTCATTTGTTTTGAAGGTATTTTTGGGGTGTGTGACAAATGCAGCTTTCCACAGATGTTTACCACAGACTCCTGGGGGTGTGTGGAAGCTGGCCTCCTGCCCACAAACTATGGGACAGGTCAGCGACTGTAAAGACCCATATTTTATTCCCCCTGGTTTGGCACTTTCCATTTGTGCGCATAGATCCAAACGCTAGCTCCCTAGCAGCCGTTCGCATTGACCAAAACCGCGAATAGACTTCAGGGGGACTTAGTCGCAAATGCCCTGGAACTTAGCTGCGATTCTGTGGAACTATTTTGGGCATAGGACCATGCGTGTGGTTTGTCAAATTATGACTTCCAGGAAAATCCTGAACCCCTAACCGATCTGGGTGATTTTTGGATATGTTGGTCACCCAGATCTAGGCTATCAGTGGATGTAACTTTTAGGGGGTTTTATGTATTTTTAAGGTACTTTTGGGGTGTTTGGGAAATGTGTGTTTTTTGTACTCAATTATCTCCCAGGCACAGGGGAGGGATTATCTTGTTTTGTATGGGAGTGTCCTGGACCTGAGAGCCAATGTAATTGTGTATTTGTTTTTACTGTAGTCTACTCTCAGGTCCAGGGGATAGTGCCCCTTGCATGGGGACCTGCATATAAGGCCAGTTGTGGCTGCCAATAAAAGTATTCCAGCTTGTACTCCCAGAACTATGTGTTGTCTGGTTACTGCGAGGGGAAAGGGCTATTCTTTAATCACTGTTCCAGTGTGGAGGATTCAACGGGGAAAGTCCTTGTAAGGATTAGAGCTCCCAGGACTGAGTGTTGTCCAGGCTGCTAGAGTGAATTCCCCATTCGGCTCTAAGAGAGAGCGGTTCCAGGGCCCCAATCAAGCCACGACGACCGTGGGCTGAAGTGCTGTGGTTTGCCCCTGTTCCAGCTAGGAAGTGGTCCTTGGTGGAGGTACCCAGCCCGGGGTACAGGGAGCTCTGTTACAGGGTGTTTGTAAATTGTATGTTTTTCTGTGCCTGGAGATAATTGAGTTAGCACAGTTCCTGACTTAATTATCTCCCAGGCACAGGGGAGGGATTACCCTGTTTTGTGTGGGAGAGTCATGGGTGTGTTTTCTGTGTCCTTGTACTGTCTAAAAGCAGATTGTGGGGTTAACACTGTTGCTAGGTGCCTCGATGTCACAGGCAGACCAGCAATCGCCAATAGCGACGGAGAGCGACGGATCGGTGCTGCATTATTGTGTGCCATTTTAGTTTAAACTATAGCTGTGTTATAAAAGTAATTTTATTACTTTTAAAATTGTTTTACCCCTTCCCTTGCCCTTTTGATCACTGCCTGCAATGATCAGTATACTGATTACAGTATTTAACTGTGATCACATTTTTTTTTTACCCTCGAGGGTTAGTTTTGATTTTTTTTTAAACCCTTAGGGTTTAATTTTATTTAATTTGCTATTTTATTAATTTGACGCTGATTCTTTAGTTAGCTGGAGTGGGTGGACTTTAGTGGGAAATTGGGAAATTGAGTGTTAGGCTAGTTAAGGACTAAAAGTTTGGAAAAGTTTTTAAACGTTTTAAAAAGTATAAAAAGAATCCAAAAAAAAGTTAAAAAAAAACAACTAAGTTTAAGTTACAGCTTCACAATCTCTAGGAGGCCTATGATATTTTAGCCGCCGACTCTGACACCACAGACACTGCCTCTGAGAGTGGTAATGACTCTGTGCCAGATACTGCAGGGCCCTCTGTTGTAAGCGCCGACACCCCTGACATGGCTCGTGACGCTGGTGACTGGGAAACCCCGAATGATTTTACGCCTGACATCCCAGAGTTTACTAATAGTCCTGGAATTCAGTTGGACTTGGCTAATTACAGTGCACTGGATTTTTATGCAGCAATTCTTGGGGGATGATATTTTAGGGGATATTGTCAGCCAGACCAACATTTATATTGCACAGTACCTGACACTTAATGATCAGAGTCTCAACGTCCAGGAAAGGGAGTTGGTACACCATCAGTGTGCCAGAATTAAAAAAATTCTGGGCACGGACTATGCTAATAGGCATTATTAAAAATCCCAGCATCAGGATGTATTGGTCCAAAAATCCTGTATGCAGCACCCCTATTTACTCCCAGACCATGAATAGGATACAAAGCAATACTTCGCTTTTTACACTCCAGCAACAATTCAAAGTGCCCCCCTAATAGATAATCCTCAGTACGATAGCCTCTATAAGATTCGCCCCCTAATTTCCCACTTCAACAGAAAATTTGGCTCAATTTACACCCCACAAAAAAATATTTGTGTAGATGAGTCTCTGATGAAATACAAGGGCAGACTGGGTTTAAGCAGTATATCCTGGCCAAAAGATCCTGTTATGGGATAAAGTTATACAGGATTTGCGAAAGTGGCAGTGCCTATGTTTACACCTTCCGTGTTAACGACAGTAAAGACAGCCACTTGGATTCCCCAGGTTGCCCGGATATCATTGGGACTAGTGGGAAAATTGTACAGGATCTAATTATCCCATTGCTAAACAAGGGGTATCATTTATAAATAGATAACTACTACAACAGCATCCCTCTTCTTAGGATGCTTTATTGCTTTGAAACTGTAGCCTGCGGCACTATCCAAAAAACACGTGTCGGTTTCCCAAAAGAGCTGCTCCCTGCCAGGAAGAACTGCTGGCTCTCAAATTTAAAGATATAATGGAGGTGTTCATGCTAACATCCATGCATACTGAGCACACTCGAAGAGTCGCAGTTCGTGGAAGACAAGAAACTAGACGGGTGACAGTCTGCATTAGGCAGTACAACAAGCATTTGGGGGGAGTTGACCTGTCCGACCAACTGCTGAAGTCATATTTAATACTGAGGAAGACCAGGGCATGGTACAAAAAGCTTGGCATTTACCTAATGTAAATGGCGACACACAATGCCTTTATTCTATACAAAAAGGCAAATGCTGACATTAAATCCACATTTCTGAATTGTCAGTACAGCTGATTTCTGGGCTGCTCACTGAGTGCCACAGTGGGGAACCATCAGCCGGGTCTAGCAGCAGAAGGGTTGAGACAGGTCACTTCTGTTTCCACATACCACCAACCCCCAAAAAGAAAGAAGACAGCCCAGAAAAGGTGCAGGTTGTGCTACCAGATGGGTATAAGGATGGAAACCAGCTTTTACTGCCCTGATTGCCCCTCTCAGTACGGCCTTTGTATTGGCAATTGTTTTAAAGTTTTTCCCACCCAGGGTGAATAAGTTGCACATTGTATATATATATGTATATATATATATATATATATATATATATATATATATATATATAGTGGTGTATATTATTTAGTTCTTCCATTTTAAAGTTGCTGACAACGTTTAGGGCCAAGGAGGCTGACTTCTGACACTGATTACTTTATTATTTTTATTTTTCACATTTTATTTAGTTAATTAGGGTGCGTGGTAATTTGTGGGAAATTGGGGAGTTTAGTGTTACGTTAGGGGTGAAAAGATTTAAAAAAAAAAAAAAATAGAAGAAAATTCATGTATAACATTATTTAGTTAAAGTTCTTGTGTCAAAAGTTAGAAATGCTTAGGAAGTTCTGAATTCTATCAGCAGACAGAGTTGACAGACAGTGCCTCAGAATTTGATGCAGGTCAATACAGTGATTAATACCTTCTTTAAGAAATGGTAGGCCTTTGTGGGGTAGTTTGAATTATCAGCCTACTAAGATGCTCTAAAATTGCACATGCACCCAGCGTCAAAATTCAAAGTTTGAAAAAAAACGATATGGCTTAGTCTCCAATGTGCCCCTTCAACATCCACATATCCCTGAAAAAGATACACATGGGGGTATTGTTGTACTAAGACGACATAGCTGAGCAACATATTATGTGTTATACTTCCGTAGCACACATAAGGATTGCAAAATATACAGTAACATCTCCAAGTGTGTGTCAAAAAGGCAGACAAATTGCTACTGGACTTAGTACAAACAAGCAAAAAAAGGATCCTATGCTAAGGTTTAAAATATGCCATTTGAAATAGCCTGGGGTGTCTTCTTTAAGAAATGGTAGGCCTTTGTGTTTTTTCTTTTCCAACAGTCAAACTGCAATAATGCCACAAATTGAAACATAGGCCCATCAAATCCGTCTCTCAAAATTCTACTGTAAATACAGAAATGGACAGGTCTCCTATATGGCACTGTAGCTTCACGAAATAGTGCCAAAGACATTCATTGGGGGTATCGTTTTACTCAGAAGACTTAGCGGAGCATAATGTTGGGGCTTTGGTCATAGTGGTGATGTAGAATTATTAAAATCTTTATTAGAACCTGTATTGAATTATTGTACTAACTCCATTTTGTTCACCTTACATGACAGAATTTCCTGACAGTATTCAGTATAATGAATAAGAGATTGTATTTTCTCTCTCTAAGGACATAACTAGCCCCGGAGTTAGCGGATCTCCGTTGACTTGCAACATAGTATAATCCAAGGCCAGGAGAACAGTGACAAAATGAAATGTTCTATTCATAAAAGAACCTTGGAACAGACCACGAGACTGACATCACTAACTACGTAAAATGACGCCCAAGCCCCCCTTTCCACCGAGTAAGCCTCGTGCTAAAGAGCAATGGCGACGACATCCCATGATGGGAGGGTGCCTCACTAGTCACTCAAATCTCTGAGCCAATTAATAAAAT